ATCCTTGCATTTGATAATTTTTAAAAAAATAATTTGGTCACTCAATACACAACTGTTTATGGGAAACTGCTGTATGCAATTGGCTGCCGCGTTTCGTCCACAAAATATACAGTCAATTCATTTTAGAGTATATTCTGTGAAGCGCTTTGAGACGTCCTCGAAGAGGTGATAACACGCTATATCAAACGCAAGGAATATTATTATATGATGCCTTTCATATCAGGTGGACTCCCAAAACGTTTCACAGGTAAATGAAATGGCTGTGTATTTTGTGGGCATATGCAACAGCAAATTTGCAGACAGCAATGTCCCACAAACAGTGACCAATTATATTTTGAGATCGTTGTCCATGACATCGGGAGGAACTCCCTTCTCTATTCAAACAGCGCCTTAGGATCCTTAAAGACCACGTGAATCGGTATCTCGTTTAACGGGTCATCTGAAGGATGTCAACTCTGACATTGGAACTCCCTGCCCTACCATCGCTGCACTGGAATATCAGCCCTAGGCTATGTGAGTTCAAAGTGGGGATTGAACCCACAATCTTTTGACTCAGAAGCATGAGTGCTACCAACTGAGCCAGGCTAGAGCATTCATTAAACACTGCTAACATTGATGTAACCTCATAGTTGGTTTTGGTTTTGGACTTGAGATCCTTGCCAGTCAATTATTTGCGCATTATGGTCCCCGATCTCCTATCACTACTTTGCTTTTAACCTGTAGGATAGGTGAGATGTGTCACAGCAATAGGAACGTACCTGAGAAAAAGTTTTTCATAACTCGATGGCTGTCGAGTTAATCTTACATTGACTTTGAACCAAATCAGTAATTCTCTGCTTAGCTGGCACAGTGTCACTAGTTTAGAATTGGCCGCTTAAGTTGAATTGAACTGAATTTCTTTGAGTCATTAGCTTTCTTGCCTGAAATCAATATTGCTTATTCAGCAAGGTTAACAGCTTCATCTCAGATTTTTCAAAAGCATGCTTGGCGAGATCCTTAACAGTACCCACAACACAACATTCCCTGTTAAACACAACGTTTATTATCTGTTCTTCTTGTTAATATGGCAACTGTAGAAACATCTCAAAGTGCTTCACAGGGTTTATTGTAAAATGCAGTGACTGTGTATTTTGTAGGCAAACGCGGCAGCCAATTTGAACACAGTGATGCCCCACAAGCAGCTGTGAAGTGAATGACCCATTTTCTTTGGGGGATTGTTGGCCAGGACATGGGAGATAGAAACTCCCTTCTCTTTTCGAGTAGTGTTATGGGATTTTAATGTGCACCTCAACAGGCAGATGGGATCTAAGTATAACATCTCGTCCAACCGATGTACTTCTGACAATGCAGCACAGCCCCCAGCCCGCGATGTGCTGTGAACTTAATGTTCTAACTTGGGGCTTGAACCCACAGTCTTGAAATCAGAACCAAGACAGTTAGAACTGAGGTAAGGAATTATTTCTTCACCCAGAGAGATGTGAAGATGTGAAGCATTCTGCCCCAGTAGCAGTGGAATCAAAGGGATGATTAAGAAAGAGACACACAAATCCTTGGATAGCAGAGTTAGTAGGGTGTACGGTGAAATAGCAGGAATTAAAAAATATGCTAGAATCTAATAAACTGATAGAACAGGTTCGATGGGCTGAATGGTCTCCTCCTGTTCCTATGTTTTTTACTTTCCGAGGTCTCCTCTCCTAATATTTTTTCATCTGAAATCTAATTCAGGTTATTCAAAGTCTTACCTAAATTCACCCCCAAAATAGAATTAGATTAATTGATGGTTCATGAGTGCTACTTGCTGGGGAAGATTACATTGATTTGACATTACTGTGAAATTTATCTCTGGCTGTGACTCTGACACTGACTCTGAGAGGGCAGACGCTGCAAACATCCAGGGTTTCAATACACCTAGAAAAACAAGTGAATGTTTTGTGTGAGCTGCAACTGAAGAACATAAGAACACGTAAGAATTTGCTAGGTAAAAGCAGACGAAGGTCCATCTTGTTTGCCTTCCACCATCCTGGCAGTCGCTTGACATATCGTGTCCTAAGCTATATACTGTATCTCGAGAAATTCTTTTCTAGTATAAATCAGTGTCATTTGCTCCTAAAAGCAAACTACACTTTCTGTTTCCACTATCTCCCGAGGGAGCCTATTCCATAGGCTGAAACGTATCATTTGTCAAGCCTCTGTCAAACATTATAACACTTTAAAAGTGTGTTGCTGGTTTAGTATTGATTTTTTTTTTGCTTTTAGCAAATTGATTGACGTTGGAATACGATTCTGTTTGCCCACCCTATCAGACCCTACCATTGTCGAGTGAGCCAGAACTCCTTCCCAGAGTCCCTCCACAGCACCCACCCCCACCCCCTCACCATTAACGCCAGCTTTAAGAACGAGCATCTTCGCTTTCTGCCACCTTACCACCTCTCTTCGCATCCTCTCCCCATCTCAACTTTCGACTCAGCTGTGTGAAGATACGTTTTGATATGTCTTCCCAACGTAAAGAAGCTGCATAAATTTAAAACCCAAACCCGTCTGCTCGAGCGCAGATGGTGGAAAACTGGCCTGACAGTCCACCGCCAACTGTGGCTTGAGCATCTCCACAGCTACCGCCGTTCTTTGACACGCGCAAAAGTGGCCTTCTACTCCAACATCATCTTGGAGGCTAAACACAACCCTAAAATCCTTTTTTCCACCATCCACTACCTCCTCCGTGCGCCCCTCAGGCCTCCTCAATCTTCATATCAAATGCCAAGTGCGAGGAGATCATGGCTTCTTTTCTTCTAAAGTACTTAACATCCGCCAGGCAGCCTCATCCATCTGCCCCTTGTCACCCACCACCACTCCCACTCTGTCCCCCTCACCCCTCACCCTCCCCATCATCTGTTCCTACCACCACCCCCATTCTACATTCCTTCCTCCCCATTTCTCCCTCCTCCCTCTCACCCGCCATCACCTCCATGAAACCCACCACCTGCTGCCTCGACCCTCTCCTCACCAACTTACTGGTCACCCAGCTCCCCCTCCTCTGCACACTACTGGCTGATGTCATCAACCAGTCCCTCTCCTCTGGATCAATCCCTCCTCCCCTCAAAACTGCTGTCATCACCCGCCTCCTAAAAAACCCTCCCTAGATCCCTCAAACCCCAGCCACTAGCGCCCTATTTCTAACCTGCCTTTCCTCTCAAAAGTTCTAGAACGCATTGTTGCCAATCAACTTCGCACACACCTCTCCTCCTACTCCCACACCCTCTTCGAACCCCTCCAGTCCGGTTTCTACCCTGCCCACAGTACAGAGACTGCGCTTATGAAAGTCACAAATTACATCCTCTCTATCTGTGACCAGGGCTCCCTCTGCCTTGTCCTCCTGGACTTCTCCACAGCATTCGACACAGTCGATCAACCATCCTCCTCTACTGCCTTTCCTCCGTCATCCACCTCAGTGGGACCGCACTCGACTGGTTCGAGTCCTACCTCACAAACCGCCAGCAGTACATCTGCACAAACGGCTTCTCCGCCCGCTCTCACCCGGTTACCTGCGGGGTACCCCAAGGATCCATCCTTGACCCCCTCCTCTTTCTGATCCATATGCTCCCTCTTGGGGATGTCATCCGCAGTCATGGGTACACTTCCACATTAGGCAGACGACACCCAACTCTATTTTTCCACCTCTCTTTGCGACCCCCAGTCCCCTTGTGTTCTGTCAGCCTGCCTGTCGGATCTCAGAGGCTGGATGAGCGCAAATCTCCTTCAACTGAACGTTGACAAGATGGAAGCCATACTCTTTGGCTCTCGTCAACGTCTCAAATCCCACGGCTCTCACCTCCTCCACCTACCCGACTTCCCCCTAAAACTCTCCGAACCCGTTCGCAACTTAGGCATCAGGTTTGACCGCCAATTATCCTTCCTCCCCCACATCTGATCCCTCACCAGCAACGCTTTCTTCCACCTCCGACGGATCGCCTGTCTCTGCCAATACCTCACTCCAAAAGCCGCTGAAACTCTGGTCCATGCCTTTGTCACCTCTCGGCTGGGCTACTCTAACACCCTCCTCGCCGGCCTCCCATCTACTACCATCCATAAAATCCAAATCACTCAAAACTCTGCTGCCCGCATTCTCACCCGCACAAAACTCCGCTCCCCGATCACCCCAGTCCTTGCCAGACTGCACTGGCTGCCTGTGCCAGAGAGGATCGATTTCAAGATCCTCACCCTCGTATTCAACTCCCTGCACTCCTCTGCACCCCCCTACCTCTCTGACCTCTTCTCTCCTCAAAACAGTACCGGTTGCCTTCGTTTCTCCGGGTCTGGCCTCCTCCTCGGCCCCCGAGTCCTCCGCTCCACACTCGGCGGCCGTGCCTTCAGCCACTGTGCCCTGAAGCTCTGGAACTCCCTTCCTCACTCCCTTCGTCTCGCTCCCTATTTTCAGGTCACTGCTGAAGACCTTTCTTTTCGACCGCGCCTTTGGTCACCTTCCTCTTCTGCCCCCTGGCTCGGTCCCGGAATCCGTTGCTGTGAAGCGCTCTGAGACGCCGTCCGGCGTGGACGGCGCTATATAAATCCAAGTTGTTTTTGTTGTTGTAAATGGATTTGATCTTACTGGACTGTTAAACCAAATAAGGAATATTATTGAACTGTAGAACATCAAATGTGAACCTAACAATAATTAATGATAGATCTCGCATTTGATATAGCACCTTGTCACATCGCAAGGGTGTCTCAAAGTGCTTTACTGTGAGGAGTAATGACTGTATGTTTGTAGGTAAACGCCACAATAAATTTAGCACACAGCAATGTCCCCACAAACGGCTATGAAGTGAATGACCGATTTTATCCAGAGTGGGGGATTGTTAGCCTCTATCGGATACAAGAATTATTATTAAAACCAATTTTTTACAAATGTACCTGAACATTTTCTGTGTAGGACGAGCTCAGTTCGAGTCACGACTTGTCACCAAGACAAAGGCAAACTTTTAATATTTCTGTCTCTCTCACAGACGATCGGATGTGACTATGAAATAGAATCCAAGGCAGCCGAGGATCAATGTGGTGTGTGCTTAGGGGACGGATCTGCCTGTCAGACAGTGACGAAGACCTTTGAAGAGAGCGAAGGATTAGGTATGACTTTTGTTTTATTAATCTGTTGCCTAGACATTTTCTGTCAAAGAAAGAGAACCTTAGGCTTGAAATTCCACCTGGTCTTAGAATTTAAGATAATGCAGAATTATGGAACATTTTGAAATTCGTTCTTAATTTTGAACAAGTATTCGCGGAGAACACTTCCCAATTGCACCGACTCGCTCACCTGAGCCTCAGTCTTTCCAGCAGTAAAAATTGCCGACTTGCCGTTCATCATGTCAATGTCACCACACCAACATCGCTTCCCGTTTTCTGCATGCACGCAACACAGGAAGTGATGCTAGAGGCGATCTGATGGATGGCCTGTTAAAATGAGGGGAGGAGGAGATGTTGTGAGTTTGAACAAAGTATTTCCTTTTCTCCTACAATGCGGATTCCAGCGCTCCGAGACTCTATCCTGCGTGAAGGGCGCTATATGAATGCAAGTTGTTGTTCTGTTTTTTAAATAGCATCAGCCAACCACTCACTTTACAATTTATCTATTATTCTTTGTACCTCTTTGCCACTTTGATGTTCTAATGGTGGTATTGCTACCCTGCAAAAATCTTTCACCAACTATCCACAATTTTTTTAAAAAAATTGGCTTTAGCCAACTTAATCACACAGTCACATTAGGGGAAGATGTTTTCTTTTGAAGGTGAAAGAAAATTGCCTTCTATGTAAGCCACAGAAACTCTAGGCTATTTCTTTTTGAATGATTTCATTCAATAATGTGTCAATCTTCGCTCAACCTTCAACGATAAACAAAGAGCAAGTCAATTCAACTCAAACAAAGAGACATCCCAAGGCAGGAAATATCACCAGGACTAATCTGTAAAAGAATTTTGCCATAAATCTGGAGATTGTGAAGAACAGTGGAAACATTTTAAGTCTCAATTTTGGAAGCCAGAATTCTTAATCCAGTGTGTCTTGACTTTTAGTCAAAAAGGTTGTGAGTTCAAGCCCCACAGGACCTTGAACTCATATAGTCGATTGGCAGATCGCTTTCCTGGATGTAATAATAATCTTCAAAAATAAAATTTTAAAAATAATTTGGTCACTCAATCCACGACTGTTTGTGGGACACTGCTGTGCGTAATTGGCTGCCGCATATCGCCCACAAAATACACAATTCATTTACAGTATATTCTGTGAAGGGCTTTGAGACATATCGAAGACGTGTTAAGGCACTATATGAAATGCAAGGATTATTATTATTATTATTATTATATAGCCCAGGCTGAAACTCCAGTGCCAGAGGAGTTCTGCATTGTCAGAGATGCCGTCCTTCAGATGAGATTTTAATTAAACCAAGGTCCTGTCCCCTGTTCAGGTGGACGTTAAAGATCCCAGGGCACTATTTGAAAAAAGAAGAGAGTTTCTCCCGGTGTCCTGGCCAACAATCCCCCAAATAAAAGTGGTCATTCACTTCAAGGCTATTTGTGGGATATTTCTATGTGCACATTGGCCACTGTGTTCGCATATAAATACACAGTCATTACACTTATAGTGTATCTTGTGAAGCATTTTGAGACATTCTCCTGAGATGAAAGGCATTGTACTAGATGTAAAGGTTATAATTATTATTGTTAGCAGTAATAATATTATTCCAGACTGAGACTGAATCTGAGATTTTTTTCATTTAACCAAGCAAGGTGTACATATAAAAGATGAGAAAAGAACCATGGAAATATGAAATACAACTTTCATTTATCTAGTGCCCTTTATGTAGAATAACAGGATAACACTGAATTTTGGAAGAAGGTAACTGTAGGAACTATCGAAGAGGTAAACCTTAAGGCAGTAGTCAAAGACAAATAAAGAGGGGGTGGTGCTGAGTGCTGTTTGTGGGATTCCTGTGCTCAATTGATTATTTAGAGCCAGACTGCTTCTGCCGGAAATGAATGAGCCAACGAGGAAGAAACAATAACAACACTAAACAAAATAACTTGCATTTATTTATAATCCTTGTATTTGATATAGTGCTTTTCAACGTTAGACATCTCAAAGTGCTACACAGAATATACTGTAAAGTGAACTGACTACATTTTTATACTTGCTCCATTGAAAAGGCAATTTGGGGCTAGACGTTTCCTCCCCTTCGAGCTTTGAAGCCAAAAAAACATGAGCCACAACACTGCTCGTTTAACGAGACCATATAGCACAGCGAGTGCTAGATATACAATAAACTCCTGATAATAAGACTCAGTCTTAACTTGTCACTACAACTTAAGTGGCCAAACTCATGTTATTTCTCATGCAAGATGTGAGGGAGTTCACATTACTCATCACTCTGCTTAACATGTAACTAGAAATTCTCGTAAGTATTTACTTTGGATAACTTGTCCACTAAGAGGTTGCATACACATCGCAGAGGCCTCTGGTCTACTGGAGGACACAGGATAAGGCATATATTTGTGGAGTCCTGTAGCTCAATGGTTAGACCTTGCAAGTGAGAGGAACTGTGTTTGATTCCCGGCTGGACGGAACGTTGGACAAGTTTCCTTACTGCACACGTCTCTGTTTACCTAGCAGTAAGTTGAGTGGCAAATTGCTTTTCTGGAGGTAATAATCCCTTCGAAATAATAATAATAATAATAATAATTTAGTTACTCAATCCACGACTGGTTGTGGGACACTGCTATGTTCAATTGGCTGCCGCATTTCTCCCACAAAATATACTGTTAATTCACTCTACAGTGAATTCTGCGAAGCGCTTTGACATGTCTTGAAGATGTGATAAGGCACCATATCAATTGCAAGGCCTACTATTATTATGGCAGGAGGCCACAGTATACCTGTTCAGGTAGACATTAAAGATCCTTTTAAAGTAGATGTTTAGCTCTTCTTTGCAAATTTGCAACGTATTGATTGGATGTAATCGAATCTCCACAACTAAGGCTGAGACTGTCAAAGGCACATTTCAAAGTACGATTTGAAAAGACAGGGGAGTTTTAACCGGTGTGGTGTCAAATAATCCCCCAGATAAAGTAGGTCACTCATTTTAATGCTGTTTGCAAATTGGCTGCTGCGTTTCACCTGCAAAGTACACTGTATTTAACAGTGAAAGTGCTTTGAGGCATGAAAATCTCCAGAAGTGAAAGGTCCTGTAATGATTGTAAATAAGTCATTTATTATGGAGCCGGACTGGTCATCCTTAAGGTGTCTTGAAGTACTTAGAATATCAAAAATAACTGTGTCATACATGTGAAGGTAGGCTACTAAATAATTCAACATTGCTTCAAAATGTGCTTTTGACAGTCTCAGCCTTAGTTACAGAGAATTGATTCCATCCGATCAATACATAGCACATTTGCAAAGAAGTGCTAAACATCTATTTTAATCAGTGGCTGAAGTCAATACTAATGTGGCTTACTTCAACATCTGTCAGCTGACAGTTCTGTGGGGCATCAGACATCCTTATTTTCCTCTTTGTCTGACTCTTGGTAAATGTGTTTTTTNGTTTGTCTTGAAATTTATTTCATTTATTGCATTTATTTCCAATCCCTCCCAAATAAAAATTTGGTCATTCGTTTCATAGCTGTTTGTGGGTTGTTGTGCACAAATTGCCTGCCGGGTTCGCCTACAAAACACGCAGCCACTACATTTTGCGGTAAATTCTGTAAAGCACTTTGAGTCATTTCAACAGCTATGTCAAATTGTGGAGTCCTGTAGTGTATTGGTTACACCACTCGCCTCGCAAGTGAGAGGACCTAGGTTTGATTCCTGGGCAGGTCGAAACCTTAGGCAAGTTTTCGTACCCCACATGCCTCTGTTTACCTAGCAGTAAGTAGTACCCTGGTTGTTAGTCGATTTGCAGAACACTCTAGGGGTGATAATCCCTTCAAAAATAATTGGCTGCTGTGGTTTGGTCACAAAATGTACAGTCAATTCTCTTTAGAATATATTCTATGAAGCACTTTGAGATGTCTCATTTACCTGATAAGGTGCTATATCAAATGCATTAAATCATTAGATCATTAAAATGCAAGGAATATTATTATTATTATGAAATGCCTGGTTTATTATTATAACAGTCACGTTCCATACCTCATAGCCTTTAAATGAAATGCTTCCCTAAACTGATGGCAACCGCGAGCTTTAAGTTAATAATAATAATAATAATCCTTGCATTTGATATAGCGCTTTTCACGTCGGGAGGACGTCCCAAAGCGCTTCACAGAAGACACTGTAAAGTGAATTGACTGTATATTTGTGGGCGAACGCGGCAGCCAATTGCGCACAGCAATGTCCCACAAACAGTCATAGATTGAAAATGACCAATTTATTATTGTTTTTGATTTTGGAGGGATTATTATTAGGCTCTGTGTGGAGTAAGGAAACTTGTCCAAGGTTTCGCCCTGTCTGGGATTGAACTCAGGTCTCTCGCTTGCAAAGCGAGTGCTCTAACCACTGAGCTACAGGACTCCACAAGTTAAGGAATCTGAAGCTTAATTGAGTCATTTAATTATCATGGTGAACTCTGATAGGCGTGAAGAGACAGCCAGCAAGCACTGTAGTCTTCTAGAGAGTTAGCGATCGCAGTACTACCAGGTTGTGAAGCAAATCATTTTTATTAATTTCCAGCTCGAGATTAATTTATTAGACAACTAGTGGCACTTTCTAAGACAGTTAATCAATGGAAGGTCTTTTAGCTGAGCTGCCAAAGTCAAGTGCTTATTCAGATACCATTTCACTCAAAACGCCCTTTAAAAAAACAATTACACACTGCCTTGCGTTTATCATATCGTCAATCAGACGACTACATTTAGCACCTAATGAATGATGGTACCAATCCAATTAAGTGCATTAAAGGAAAATTAAATGCCTGATTCATATTCTGTTTATCTCCTGAGACTCTTTCAATGCATATCTAGCTCCTTGTTCCACTGTTCCACCATCCGTAAATTATGCCAGCTAAGCCAAAATTCCCCGCTTGCATTCTCATGTGCTTTAAACTCCACACGTCCATCACCCCAGCCTTCCCCTGGCTCCATTGGCTCTTCTTCTCCCAACTGATAAACTTCAAGGTCCTCACTATTCCTTTGCATCCTAGAACCTCCATATCTCTGTATTCTCTGTCTGTCTCTACACACCCCCTTCACTCGGCTATCTTGCGTCTCCTACATGTCTCCTGACCCCTGCTTGCCACGATTTGTGGTCGAGCCTTCAGCTATGCTGTCCCTAACCTCTGGAACTCCCCTACCTCTACCCTCTGCTCTCTGTCTGTCTTTAAATCATGCCTTAAATTTACCTCTTTGACCAAACCTGTCATCACCTCTGCCTTCTCCCAACCCCACACCCCTTTTTAGCATCTGACTCTGTTATTGTTCAGAGTCTGAGCTGTTATCCTGCATCATGGGCACTGCAGATTTAGGTATCAGGCTGGCTCAGTTGGAAGCATTCTTGCCTCTGAGTCAGAAGATTATGGGTTCAAACCCCAAGTCGGATTTGGAATTCATATAGTGTAACTACTCCAATTCAGTGCTGGGGGTGTGCTGCAATGTTGGAAGCCTTGTACTTTTGATAAGTCGATAACAATTCCCCAAATAATTCTGCCTATACACTTCTGGCTGTTTGTGGGACTTTGCTGTGCATAAATTCGCTACCGCACTCACCCTCAAAGTACACAATCTCTGTATGTCACCCTCAAAGTGCTTTACAGAGAATCCTGTGAAACATTTTGGTATATTGTCCTGATGTGAAAGGTGCTGCACCAAATGCAAATATTATTACTATTATTATTAATTGCTATTAGGTCCACCCCACTTCTTTGCACACAGCTAAGTTCTACAGGCAGCTTTGAAGTGAATGCTCAATTTATCTTATAGATAACAATAACACCACTTGAAGTCCATTGATGACAAATGTAGTACTTGCAGGCAAACTCGGCAGCCAACTTGCATGTAAGAATACCCCACAAGCAGTGAATGCCCAATTTACATGGTAGGCTTTTAACAGGAATCTTTACAAATAGTGCCACAGGATTTTTAAAACCCATCTTAAAAATAGGTAGACGATGCTCAGTTCAAAGCCTCATCTGACGCCGATACCTCCTACATTTATCCGTTCTGAACTGTTCTTTTGCGTCAGTTGTTACGTTGTGAGTCTGTTGTCTTTTCCAGGTTACGTGGATGTGGGTCTGATTCCAGAAGGAGCCCGGGATATCCGGGTGGAGGAGATAGCCGAAGCTGGGAACTTCCTCGCTCTGAGAAGTGAAGATCCTGAAAAGTATTTCCTCAATGGAGGATTTGTTATCCAGTGGAACGGAGACTACAAAGTGGCTGGAACCACGTTCAAGTACGAGAGAAATGGGAATCTGGAGAACCTGACCGCTCCAGGACCCACAAAAGAACCCGTTTGGATTCAGGTAAATTCTTTACCCCGGCAATCAGAGGCCACAAAATCCACCTGGCTTTGTTTTGTCTTAAATCTTAAAGTAATGGGGAGTCTTGTAGTGTACTGGTTGGAGCATCCGCCTTGCAAAGCGAGAGGACCTGGGTTTGAATCCTGGGCAAGGTGAAACATTGGGCAAGTTTCCTTACTCCACACAGGATAATAATATAATAATAATAATCCTTGCATTTGATATCGCGCTTTTCACGTCGGGAGGACGTCCCAAAGCGCTTCACAGAATACACTGTAAAGTGAATTGACTGTATATTTGTGGGCAAACGCAGCAGCCAATTGCGCACAGCAATGTCCCACAAACAGTCGTAGATTGAAAATGACCAATTTATTATTGTTTTTTTTTAATTTTGGAGGGATTATTATTAGGCGTGTGGAGTAAGGAAACTTGCCCAAGGTTTCGCCCTCTGCCTGGAAGGATTATAATAATACTAATTATTATAATTATAATAATGTTACTTAGCTCCTAATTAACCATTAGCCAATTATAATAATAATCCTAATTATAATAATGACAATTATTATTGTTATAATTATCATAGAAACATAGAAACAGGAGTAGGCTATTCAGCCCCTGTTCCGCCATTCTATATTATGGCTGATCTGTACCTCAACTCCAATTTCCTGCCCTTGTCCAGTATCCCTTGGTAGCCTGACCCATTAGCCTCCTAAGCTCAAAGGAATAGGGACCAAGTTTATGCAACCTGTCGTCATAATTCAATCCTTTAAGCCCTGGTATCATTCTTGCATTTCATATAGTGCCTCTCACGTCATGGCTCAAAGTGCCTCACAGGATATGAAAAGAAAAGGAATTTTTTCCTGGTGTGCCAGCCAACAATCCCCCAAATAAAATTGGTCATTCCTAACATGTTTGTGGGACAATGTCCTGCAAATAGCCGCAGCCACAGAGACAAGAATACTGGACGTCGGTTTTAATGTCTCATCCAAATACTGCACTGGAGTGGCAGCCTAGATTGTGAGTTCAGAGTCCTCAACATTGGGGCTTGAACCCACAACATTCAGACTCAAGACGCTGCATTGTTAAAGGTACTACTATTTGTTCAAGTTATACTAGAAGCTATAAAATGAACAGTTGTTCCTCTGTGGAGAATATTTGGCTTGTACTATGCCTCTGATTCAGCAACTAAAGTTCTTTGCCATTTGCAGTTGCTCTTTCAGGAGACAAACCCTGGAATCAGGTACGAATACACCATCAAGAAAGACACCGATGAAGAGAATACGATCAGACAGCTGGTGTTCTCCTGGGAGTATGGACTATGGACACGTTGCAGTGCCCTATGTGGAACAGGTAATGGGTCCTTTTCTGGAACTTACTGTAAGAACAACAATGCCAGCCTTGCACCTTATACGTAGTAACTTTCAAATTAACAGGACAGTTCAAAGAGCTTTATATGATTTAGATCATGTGTTGGAGGGAGAACTTCATTATCGGGGAGCCATACTTCAAATGATCCGAGGCCCCATCTGCTCTCTGTTCAGGTGGACATTAAAGATCACGTGGTACTATTCCCACCAACAGGCAAGAAAGTTTCTCCCAATGTCTTGGCCAACATTCCCCCTGATAAAATTGGTCATTCACTTCACGGCCGTTGGTTGGACATTGCTGAGTGTAAATTGTCTGCAATCTTCGCCTACAAAATGCATGATCAGTGCACTTCGGAGTAAGCTCCTGTGAAGAGCTTTGAGTAATTTTGACAAAGTGTTGAGATGCTATATCACATGCAAGGATTATAATAAGGATTATTATATTGAGGACACTAATGAGTGTGACTGCCACCAGGACTAGAACAGTCCTAATGGTCTACCCGAAGACCTTTGTGTAGCAGGTGGCACATCTCAGTCACAGCTTTCTTGGCCCTTACCAAAGAATTGCCATCTGTTGACGTATTTATAAACAGCAATGACTCACTAAAATTGTTCATCGGATTTTTGTTTGTTCGCTTTAGCTCAGAAATATGCAATTGGTCAAACAGTTAAGAGTCTCCTGTTTATTGACTTTTAATTTTGTTCATTTTTAACTGTGCAATAAAGACCTTCCCCCCACAAAAACAGTCAGTGTACCTTCTTCCCCCAAATTAATAGTTCCCTGAGCTGGGGGTGGGAGCTGAGAGGGGTGATGACCACATCACTCCTACCCTCGCTCGCCTCCACTGGCTCCCCATCCCCCAGAGGATTGATTTCAAGATCCTCATCCTCACCTACAAGGCCATTCACGGCCTTGCTCCCTCCTACCTCTCCAACCTACTATCCCCCTACCTACCTGCCCGTACCCTCCGTTCCTCTGGCTCCGGTCTGCTCCACGTCCCCCGCCCCAACCGCCCTACTATCGGTGGTCGGGCCTTCAGCCTCTCAGCCCCGAGGCTCTGGAACTCCATCCCCCAGTGCCTTCGCCTTGCTTCCTCCCTTTCCTCCTTCAAGGCCGGTCTCAAAACCTTTCTCTTTGACCGTGCCTTCAGCTCCCCTCTCGACTCTCTTCCTCCTCCTCGCTCCCTCCCTTCCCTCCCCTCACCCTGACCATTTCCCCCCTCCTCTCTCCCTCCCTTCCCTCCCCTCACCCTGACCATTTCCCCCCTCCTCTCTCCCTCCCTTCCCTCCCCTCACCCTGACCATTTCCCCCTGCTCGGGTCATGACCCAACTGTGCAGCGCCTTGGGACGTCCTCCTGACGTGAAAGGCGCTCTATAAATGGAATCTTGTTGTTGTTGTTGTTGTTGTTGTGTGGAGGGAAAGGTGGCCGAAAGCGCCATCAAAGAGCTAGGTATTGAGATGGAACTTGAATGAGGTGAGGGAGTCAAAGAGACGCAAAATTAATATCAGCTCAGAGTCTCGTTTGCAGGGCTCAAACCCACAATTGGCTAACTCGGAGACGAGTACAACATACTGAGCAGGGCTCTCACGTGCTGCCTGCAATATTCGAATGTCACATTGGATGATGCCAGTGTTTTTAATAGGTCTTCCTGAACAATTCCCAAAGGAAGGGGATGCTTTAGTCATCATCTGATTTGCATTAAGAGCGAAGCAAATCTAATGAGTGAAAGCCAGTTATGCTGTTTATAAACCCATGTTAAATAAAGCTTCATTGTTCTTGTTATATTCTGTGTGGTGAATTCAGAACATCCTGATTAGAATGTTCGAGAAACAGGGGAACAGGACTGTTCGAGACAGTTTCCCCCAATTTAGTAAGTAGATCACTGAGAATCTTTTAATCCCGTTTCGCCTTTTCTCTATGTCCATCAATATCTTTATCTCCCAAAATCTGTCCGTCTCCTTGCTACATATACTAAATATTCTGCCTCTACTGCCTTGTTGGGGCAGCGAGTTCAACATTGACGAACGCCTGGCTGTTAAGGTGGACGGTAAACATCCCATGGCAGTACTTGAAAAGAGATGAATTTCTCTCTTAGTCTCCTTGTCAACAATCCCCCAGATAAAATTAGTCCTGGTTCTTGTCCATTAGAATAAGAGGGCATTGCTGAACCTATTTCCTCTTGTTCTAATGTATCAGGGCATTTGCCAGTATTTTTTTGACTTCGCTTTTTGAATCCTATTTCAGTCTCAAATTTGAATCTTTCTAAATGATTCAGTGAGCAAATTGCAGCCTGAAAACAAACCGGAGCAACTTTATAAATGTTGAGTGTGTTTATTTTTGTTCTAAAAGGAAAATCAACAGGCTCCAGAGGAATTAATGCATTGAAAAAAACAAATTTAATTTAATTTTCAGTGAAACAAAAGCAGTCTTTCACCTTGTGACAGTTTGTTGGACATTGCTGCATGCAAATTGGTTGCCGCATTCGCCTGGGGGTTGTCTTCTATTCGCTAATGTGCATTTGGCGCGGCATTTTGCTCACACAAAACATACAGCCAATTCACTTTACAGTATATTTTGTGAAGCGTTTTGAGACATCTGGAAGATGTGATAAGGCGCTGTATCAAATGCACGGATTACTATTAATATTAATAATAAAATCCTTGCATTTGATATAGCGCTTTTCATGTCTTCTCAACGTCTCACAGCGCTTCACAGAATATGCTGTAAAGTGAATTGACTGTATATTTGTGGGTGAAACGCGGCAGCCAATAAAGATGCGCACAGCAGTGTCCCACAACAGTCATGGATTGAAGTGACCAATTTATTTTAATTATTTTTTCTTGAGGGATTATTATCGTGGAGTAAGGAAACTTGCCCAAGGTTTTGCCCTGGGCAATCTGTTCCCTTAGCTTGGTTGTCCAGCCAGCAGTGTTATGCACTTTGAGACATCATCCCCTTGTCAAAAGCTGCTGTACAAATATAAATTTTATAGTATTATTTGTTGGTCTCAGACATGTGCTTCTGTCTACTGAAAATTTGAGAAGAACTTTTGAACTTGATACTCAGTAATCACCTAGCAGTTTGTACAGTGCCTTTCATGTCAGGAGGACATCCAAACACACTTCACAGTGTTGGGTGGGCACCTGAGCTGGGGGTGGGGAGGGGAAAGATGGCAGAAAGTGTGGTCAAAGAGTTACGTTTTGAGATGGACCTTGAAAGAGGTGAGGAAGAGCGAGTTGGAGGGACTCTGGGTTGGAGTTTCAGAGAGCGGGGGCAGATTGGCTAAAGACCCACCTGCCGATGATAGGGTGGATAGGATGGGGGATATGAAACAGGTCAGTGCTCGCTGGGTAAAGACTTGGTTGGTATGGTTGGCAGGAATTCTCTGTGAAGCACTTCGAGACTTTTCAATGCTGTAGGCACTGTATTACGTGTGAGTGTTATTTCAGGGTCAAACTGTCAGAGAAGAACGGTGAGGATTCATTGAACATCCTCGCTATCGCACCATGTCTTCTCCCAGTCAAAGCTGCCAGACACTATCATTAGCTGAGTACCTTTAGGCAATGTCTGCAACGTGCTTCCCTGGATGCAAGATCGCTTTCATTTTCACAGTAACAGCAAGCTGCATACTGTACCCTCATTCGTCATCTCAAGGCTCGACTACAGAAACTCCCTCCTTGTCGGTCTCACCAACTCTTCCCTCCACCAGCTGCAGATCATCCAGAACTCTGCAGCTCGTGTCCTCTCCTGCACCATATTCTGTGACCCCATCACCCCCACCCTCGCCCGGCTCCACTGCCTCCCCACCCCTCAGGGGATAGAATTCAAAATCGTCATCCTCACTTTCAAGGCCCTCCACGGCCTTGCCCCCTCCTACATCTCTGACCTGCGGAACCCTATCAAGCTGTCCGCTTCCTCCGCTTAGCAGGCTCTGGCTTGCTCCATGTCTTCTGCCCGACCCACCCTACCAGCGGCGGCTGTTCTTTCAGCCTCTCTGCACTCACTCTTTGTAACTCCATCCCACAATCCCTTCGCCTTGCTCCCTCTCTTGCCTCTTTCAAGGTACGACCCAAGACACTCCTTTTTTGATCATGCCTTCAGCTGCACTCCTCCCCCCCTGCCCTCCCTCATCCCAACCCTGTCCCCCCAGGCTCTGGTCCTGATCTCTGACTGTTCAGCACCTTGAGACATCCTCCCGACGTGAAAGGCGCTTTATAAATGTAATTTTGTTGTTTTTTTTGTTGTAAACCTCTCACAGCCTTCAGCAAATTCCACAAGGAAATAAAATCTCTCGTCTGATCCCTGTACATCTATCTCTCAGCTGAGCTTTGGTTTAGAAGATTGGCGTGACCTAGATCCTTTAATGCCTGAGTTAGTTTAACACATTAAGATCATGGCTGATCTGTACCTTAACTCCCATCCCAGTGTCATGCACCCTATCACTTCAAAGGGCTTCACATATTATTACATGGACCCCAGTAACCTGGCCTCATCCATCCTTCATGGTAATGCAATTCCTATTTGTTAATTACTCTAGGTAATGCTCTGAGACACTACCACACATGACAGGTGCTCTGTAAACACAAGTTGTTGTTGTTGTAATGAAAAATGTCCTGACTTCTGTCCTGAAATTGTTCTTTCCAACCTTATCCTTCTCCCTGGGCATATCTGGCAGTTATCCTCCTGATGTGAAAGGCGCTATATAAAATGCAAAGGGTTATTATTATTTTATCACACAATATGAGGAAGCTTGATTTATCTAGTGGATAATCAACAGCTGTAACAGGTTATAATAATGACAGCAATAATAATCATAATCCTTACATTGGTATTGCACGAATCATGAATAAATGAGATCTGAATCTGTCTGGTGATTCTTCTTACCTATGGGGCAGAAACATACCACTGTGTATCCCACAGGTACACAGGCACAACTTTCTTCCCCTCTCAGATCTTTCATTAAACTCTCTTGTCACGGGTGGACTGGCTGTCCTTTTCAATGCCCATCACCGACACCAGTCGGGCTGAATGGAGCGTGCCTGGCAGAAGCCTCATGTGCCTCGCAGCCTCCACTAATCAATGCCATTGATCTTCTAGATCACAAGAAATCGCCAGGCAGGTTCAGATGACTTGGTCTCATTTATTCATGATTTACGTGCATTTGATCTCACCCTTCCAGAATATTAAACCCCATTGTCTTTTAATAAGAGCATCCAGTTATTACTTAAGGTCAATGTCCTGGCCTCAACCCCAATACCTGGTTCTGTGTGTTAGTCTGGCTCAACTCTCACCTCTGAGTCCTGTGGTTGTGGGGTTAAGACCCATGTCAGGACTTGAACTCACATAGTCTAAGCTGATACTCCAGTGCAATGCTGGGGTTCTGCTGCATTGTCCTTCAGATGAGATGTTAAGACTGAGGTTCCTCCTCCCTGTTCAGGTGGAAGTTAAAGATTCTGGGGTACTATTTGAAAAGAGAAGGGAGTTTCTCCTGGTGTCTTGGTCAAGTTATTGTTTCATCTTGTGTGTCAGCCTGGCTCAGCACTCCCGCCTCTGAGTCAGAAGATTGTGGGTTCAAATCCCACATCAGGACTTGAACTCACATAGTCTAAGATGACTTTAGTGGTGGGGAGGGGTGGTGAAGCATTGTCAGAGGTGCTATCATTCAGATGAGATGTAAAACTGAGAACCTGTGTGCCTGTTCAGGTGGACGTTAAAGATCCCATCATGCTACTCAAAAAGAGAAGGGAGTTTCTTCTGGTGTCCTGGCCAACTAACCCCCAAATAAAAATTTTCACTGACTCAATGGCTGTTTGTGGCACATTGTGTTGCCGCATTCGCTTAAAAAATACATTGTCACACCATTTCACAGTAATTCCTCTGAAGCTCTTTAAGATGTTCTACTAACGCGATAAGATGCTAAATCAAATGCAATGATGATTATTACCTTCCCCTCACCCATTAATCCCCACTCGCTCTACGTCTAAGCCTGTATCCTTGCATTTTTGATATAGCGCTTTTCACGTCGGGAGGACGTCCCAAAGCGCTTCACAGAACACACTGTAAAGTGAATTGACTGTATATTTGTGGGCGAACGCGGCAGCCAATTGCGCACAGCAATGTCCCACAAACAGTCGTGGATTGAAAATGACCAATTTATTATTGTTTTTTTTTTTGGTTTTGGAGGGATTATTATTAGGCTCTGTGTGGAGTAAGGAAACTTGCCCAAGGTTTCGCCCTGCCTGGAATTGAACTCAGGTCTCTAGCTTGCAAAGCGAGTGCTCAACCACTGAGCTACAGGACTCCATCTGAAGTGCTGGCGAAGTTATACTACATGAAGGGTGCTGTTGATTTCTCTCCTGGGTCACTCTCCCACTGTGAAACACCACTGTTTCTAACGCACCGTGGCTTTGCCCTGTTCTCAGCGATTATGCTCTTTGTTATCTCACAGGTGTACGGCGACAGATTGTTCGGTGTGTAGAAAAGACCAGCGGAGTGGTGGAAGACAGGTTCTGTAACCCGAGGAGTCGCCCTGACAACAAGCAACAGAAATGCAATGAACCGGATTGTCCGGCCAGGTGAGATCTCACTCGCTGCTACATCTCCTGACGCAAGTCCCAGGGAACAGGCTGATTGATCGCAGAGGGATCTGGGCAGATTAGGGAGAAGGGCTGACAAATGGTAAATGTCGTGACTGTGTATTTTGTAGGTGGAAACTCAGCAGTCAGTTTGCGCACAGCAATATCCCTCAAACTGCCATGGCTTGAATGGCCCATTTTATTTGGGGGATTGTCGAGCGGGCCACTGGGAGAGAGAAACTCCCTTCTCTTTTTGAATAGTGCCATGGGATCTTTAACATCTACCTAACAAATAGGATCTCAGTTTAACATCGAAACTGACATTTGAGTACAGGATCAGTGGAGTACTTCATTGTCTGTCTGATGACATTAAACTGTGATATTATCTGCCTGTTCAGGTGGATTTTAAAGATGAAAATAGCACTATTCGAACAAAGAAGTGAGTTTCTCCTGGTGTTCTGGCCAACAATCCCCCAATTATAATCGGTTGTTTCACTTCACAGCTGTTTGTGGGACGTTGTTGTATGCAAATTGCTGTCACATTTGCCCACAAGATGCACAGCTGGTACAAATTATAGTAAATCCCGTGAAGCGCTTTGAAATGTCCTCCCAAGTGAAAGGCTCCATATCAAAGGTAAGGATTATTACTGTGTCAATTAACGTAGAACAAAGTGGATATGGATTTCAGGTCAGCAGAAGGACGATTCTTTTTTTCTGTGATGTACATGGAGACTCATCACTTTGCTTAAGAATATCTGAACCAAACTAGGGAAGGTGATCCTGAGGTAATTGCTTTGCACAGATAGCAGAGAATCTACGGAGTTGATTACCCAGGGAATTCTGGAAGAAATTATCAATTTAGAACTGATTGGACAAATTGGTAGACTTGCTCCCCAACATGGAACTGCAAATCAGTCTCATTTCAGCCTGGCAGCAGAGCAGAGATAACAAAAGAAAAAAAGAGCGAGCGAGAGAGAGAAAAAGAGAGAGAAAGACAGAGAGAACAAAAGATGGAGAGAAAGAAATAGAGAGAGAAATAAAAGAAGGAACAACAACAACAACAAGATTCCATTTATAAAGCGCCTTTCACGTCAGGAGGACGTCCCAAGGCGCTGCACATTTGGGTCAAGGAAGGAAGGCTGCAAGGTGCTGGCAGACCGAAATAAACCAAAACTGCTGAAAAGTGACAGCAGGTTAAATCAGAGTGCAAGGCATGTTAGTATGTCAGGGACTTGATCAGATCTGTGTTTGGAATGGATCTCTTTGGTAGGAGAGTGCAGGATAGGGTCAGAAAATTCAGCTTCCTGAGTGTGGACGAGTTCCATCCAACTGTCTTGCTCAACTCAGATCACGATATTTACGCTACAGGATTGAGTGGTTTCTCACGAGAGGTCACAGTTCCGGTCAAATTCCAAGGCCTTTGTAATAATGAAGACTGGATCAGTCAGTGGGTTTTCACTGGGCTTTAATTGAATGGAGTCAACAGATAGATATTCACAGAGATGGTAGATTATATAGTGCATCTTTGATACAAGAGTTTGAACGAAAAAGAATAAAACAAATTGTGTAATACTATTATTACATAATAACTCAATTATTGTTATATGTTATGATTATTGCTTTATAATGTCATAATTGTTATTGGATATTATTATTTTATTATAATTATTACTGAACATTACTGGATAGTATTGTTTGTTGTGCCACAATTATTAATGGAAATTACTATTGTATAATACCATAATTGCTAATGTGCATTACTATAATTATATTTTAGTTGATACATTCTAATTACATAATCATAGCCTTATTAAAAATATTACAATTATCATGAAGTGCTTTTTTTATCAGATATAAGGGTGACAATCTGACAATAAAATGCACAAATTATACTGGGTGCACTTACGTGCAGTTTGGAAAACAAATTTACTGTGTGTTCTGAGTTTGGAAGATTAAGTGACAATCAGTCAGAGTAGAGCAGAAATTCAAGTAATCCAGCAAAATGAGAAATGATAATAATAATCCGTATATTTGATATAGCAAGAAAATCCCTTGAATTTTCATATGTGGAGACCCATATCTTGGTGGTTAGAGCATTCGCCTCGCAAGCGAGAGGACCCAGGTTTGATTTCCAGGCAGGATGAAATCTTAAGCAAGTTTCTTTACTCCTCGGTTAACACTCCTTTATTTAACTAGCAGTAAGTAGGAACCCGGTTGGTAGTAGATTGTTGGATCGCTTTCCGTGGGTAATAATCACTCCAAAAAAAAGAATAATTTGGTCACTCGATCCACGACTGTTTGTGTGCAATTGGCTGCTGCATTTCTCCCACAAAAGCGCACTCAATTCCCTTTAAAATATATTCTGTGAAATGCTTTGAGATATCTCAATGGTTAGATTTCTCAGTGGTTAGAGCGCTCGCCTTGCAAGCGAGAGGCCTGGGTTCGATTCCCAGCAGGGCAAAACCGTGGACAAGTTTCCTTACGCCACACGCCTAATAATAATGCCTCAAGTGGAAAAAAAAACAAAAAACAATCACTTCAATCAACAACTGGTTGTAGGATACTGTTGTGCGCAATTATCTGCCGCGTTTCGCCCACAAATATACAGTCAATTCACTTTACAGTATATTTTGCGAAGCATTTTGAGATGTCTAGAAGATGTGAAAAGCGCTATATCAAATGCAAGGATTATTATTATTATTATAATACACACTGGCACTCCATTCGCACTCAAATACAATTAGTTTACATAAAATTCATGTGAAACATTTTGAGACCACCCCCTTAGCCCCCACCCGCCTCAGCTCCCACTATCCTCGACCCCACCCACAGCTCGGGTGCAAACCTCGGACTGTCCAGCATCTTGGGACATCTGCCCTACGTGAAAGGCGCTGTGTGAATGTAAATGTGTTATTGTTGAAACCTTTGGACAACGAGTGAATAATAATGGTAAACCTCGCATTTGATAATAGCATCTTATCACGTCATTGAGACATCTCAAAGCGCTTCACAGAATATACTGTCAAGTGGTTTGACTGTGTATTTTGTGGGCGAAATGCGGCAGCCAATTGGGCACAGCAGTGTCCCAGAAACAGCCATACGGCGCTATATCAAACTCAAGTATTATTAACACTCACTGGTATCTGTTGAAATTGCCCTTCAACCCTGTACCCGTCTCCATCTGATCCTTTGTCTCAGGGGGATTTCTGAATGTAATGGTCGTTTCTGTGTCTCCTTTCGAATGCGGCCTCCCTCATCACCTCGATGTCATGTTTTACAGATGGTGGGCTGGTGAGTGGCAGAAATGCTCCAAAGCATGTGGATTTTCAGGTGTGAAGAAGCGAACGGTTCTCTGCATCCAAACTGTGGGGCTGGATGAGCAGGCACTTCCGGTGTCCGAGTGTAAACACCTCCCTCGGCCACGAGCTCAATTACCCTGCAACAGAGATATCCTCTGCTCCTCCAACTGGACCGTGGGAATTTGGGGTGAGGTAAGGCAATCCTGTCCCAAGGATATTATCATCAGTGCAAATTCCAGGCAGGATGGAACATTAGACAAGTTTCCTTACTCCACACACATCTGTTTACCTTGTAGTAAGTAGGAAACCGATTGTTAGTTGATTGGCAGATTTGCTTTCCAGGGATAATGATCCCTCCAGCCAAAAAAAAATAATTTGATTCATTCAATTCACGACTGCTTGTGGGACTCTGCTGTGCGCAATTGGCTGCCTCATTTCGCCTCAAAATATACAGTCAATCCACTTAATAATGTATTCTGTGAAGCGCTTTGGGCCATCTCAATGACAAGATAATGCGCTATATCAAATGCAAGGATTAACAACAACCAATTGCATTTACATAATGCAGGTTAGCTTGCCAGAGTCCTTGGGTTTATTATTAATCGTTCCAAATTTGGAATAAAACAACTCAAAGTTTAGGTGTCAGCCAGGCTCAGTTGGAGGCGCTCACACCTCTGAGTCTGAAGGTTGTGGGTTCAATCCTCTGTTGGGACTTGGAGCTCACAGTCTAGGCTGACACTCCAGTGCAGTGCTGAGGAACACTGCATTGTTGTCACAGGTGCTGCCCTTCAGATAAGACATTAATTGAGGTCCCAAATACCTGTTAAAGATCCCGTGGCACTATTCGAAAGGAGGATTACAAGGAGCTCCATTTTATAGCTAATCCTGTGGAAGAGTTTGAGAGAAAGAGAGTGAGAATGAAAGAGATGTTGAAAGAGAGAGGGTGAGAATAAGAGAGATGGTGAAAGAGGAAGGGGGAGAATGGAGCGAGGGTGTGAGGGAGAGATAGTGAGAGAGGCTGAGAGAAAGAGAGATAGAGAGAGAGACACAGTGAGGGAGAGAGAGAGGATGTGAGAAACATAGTGAGTATTTGTGTGTGAGAGAGAGAAAGAGGGAGAAAGAGAGAAGATGAGAGAGAAAGAACCTCTTTGAAGTTTGGATTTGTAAAAGTCTGGCACATCAGAAGTGGGTCAAAGTCCATATGTCCATACCTCAGTTCACTCCGAGATGATTATTTTGAAAGAATTTTTTTCACAGAGATCAGTTGAAGCAGCTGCATTTCAATGGGTCGAATCACCTCGGCTATAAAGTATTTATACGATGAGGCACCTTCATCTTTCATAACCGAGTGTATTTCTGACCTCATGAAAATCAAAGCTTCGGGAATCGCAGAATCAGTGGGAAAAGATTTTGTTTTAATCATGGGTGGCACGCACTGCCTTAAACCAGTGTTATTGATTAGACCTGATACAGGATGACCAAATTATAATAGGATTTAACAGGCTAAATAGGGGAGAAGCTATTTCCACTGGCAGTATAGTCAGTGAATGGATGACATAGATGTAAATTAGTCACATGAAGAGTGAAGGGGATCTTAGGAGAATATTTTTGCACACAGAGAGTTGGGATATGGAATGCTCTGCCAAGTAAGATGGTAGAGGCAGTTCTCTGATGGCAAAGTCCATCAAGAGGGAAATAGACAGTTATATGAAAGTTAGAGGGCGGAAGTGATATTGGGATTTCCCAGTGCACAGCAGTGTCCCACAAACAGCCATAAAGGGAATGAACAATTCTTATATCGGGCAATGTTGGCCAGGATACTAGGAGAAAGTCACTTCTTTTTTTGAATAGCGTCGTGGGATCTTTAATGTCCACTAGAAGAGGCAGACAGGACTTCAGTTTAACGTCTCATCGAAAGGACAGCTCAATGGACAGTGTACGCCCATCATTGCAATGGAGCATCATCTTAGACTATATGAGTTCCAGGTCGACTTGAGACTTGAACCCACAACCTCTGACTGAAAGGCAAATGTGCTACCAATCGCGCCAGGTTGACATCAAGACGCTATAATAATAATAATCCCTGCATTACAGATAGCAACTTATCATGCCATCAAGATGTCTCAAAATACTTCACAGAATATACTATTAAGTGGGTTGACTGTATATTTTGCGGGCAAAATGCGGCAGCCAATTGCGTACAGCAGTGTCCTACAAACAGTTGTGGAGTGAGTGAGCAATTTTTTGAGAGAGATTATTACCCCCAGAGAGCTATCCGCAATCAACTAACAATTGCCTTCCTACTTACTGCTAGGTAAACAGAGGTGTGTGGAGTAAGGAAACTTGCCTAAGGTTTTGACCCAACCGGAAATCAAATCCGAGTCCTCTCGCTTGCGAGAGGAGCACTCTAACCACGACACTACAGGACTCCATCAAATGCAAGGATATTATTATTTCTCCTGAAGTGAAACAGCTTGTTTACAGCAGAAACATTTATGTGACACTGTTGGCCTTTTGTTATTCTCTCGCCTGAGGGTCTCTCAGAATATAAATAGCCTGTAACATTGGAGCTATTAAACAATATTTGGTTCACTTATCTTCAAGACTCCGAGTCAGATCTTGACAGGAAATCGAAATTGCTTGCTTGTTTGATATCTCCGAATGTGCTGTTCTATCACTTCGAATTAAAAGGACAATCTGGTGAGTGTATTGTTTATCTATATGAGAAAAGGACATTATTCAACAACAGCAACAACAACTTGGATTCATATAGCGCCCTCCACGCCGGACGGCATCTCAGAGCGCTTCATAGTAACGGATCCCAGGGCGAGGGGGAGGAAGGTGACCAAAGGTGCGGTCGAAAAGAAAGGTCTTCAGCAGAGACCTGAAAGTAGGAAGAGAGGGAGCGAGAGCTAGGGAGGTACAGAGAAGTGGAGGGATTTGAAGACAAGGGTGACGATCTTGAAATCGATCCTCGCTGGGATTCCCCCTGCATTTCCCACTATCGACATAATAATAATATAATCCTTGCATTTGATATAGCGCTTTTCATGTCTTATCGACGTCTCAAAGCGCTTCACAGAATAGACTGTAAAGTGAATTGACTGTATATTTGTGGGCGAAACACATGTGTGTGATGAATGTTGAAATAATTGAGTGGTCTTGATATTCAGGATAAAGTTTTGCTGCTGAGAGTGTTTGTGCACAGATGCAATCACCAACCATTTGTAGAGTCCTGTAGCATATTGGTTAGAGTTCTCGCCTCGCAAGCAAGAGGACTCGGTTCGATTCCCTGGCAGTGCAAAACCGTAGAAAATTTGCCTAATCCACATGCCTCTGTTTACCTAGCAGTAAATCAATTGGCGGATCGCTTTCCTGGAGTAATAATCCCTTCAAAAAGCAATTAAAATAATAATTTGGTCGCTCAATTCCTGACTGTATTATAACTCCCCAAAGGCTGCATGGTGAGTGTTTCACAATTACATGGAGGATATGGATTGGAAACATGCAGGTGCAACCTTGGTTTCATGTCTCATCCAACGATGGACACCCCCTTCCACCCAACGCTTCACTGGAGTTTTATCTTAAGACTGTGAGCCCTAAGCCCCTGACTTGGGGTTTGAACTCACACCCTTCTGACTCATAGGATGCAAAACACAAAGCCAATATACGTTAAAGTAAATCCTGGTGAAGCGCATTAAGATGTCCTCCTGACATGAACAGTGTGTGAAATAAATAATAAAATTATCCTTGCTTTTGATATAGCGCCTTAACACGTCTCAAACCGCTACAGGGTATATTGTAAAGTATATTGACAGCATATTTTGTGGGTGAAACGCGGCAGGCAATTGTACACAGCAGTGTCCCACAAACAGTTGTGGATCGAGTGACAAATTTTTTTTTGAAGGAATTATTTCTTCCGGAAAAGCAATCGAACAATCGACTAAAAACAGGTTCCTACTGACTGCCAGGTAAATAGAGGTGTGTGGACTAAGGAAACTTGGCGAAGTTTCGCCCTGCCTGGGAATCGAACCCAGGTCCTCCTGCTTTGTGAAGCGACTGCGCTAACCACTACTCTACGGGATGCCTACAGTATTAAGAGAGCGACATTATAACAAGTAGCCAGGTGGCTCTGGACTGAGGCTTTGTGTGGTTGTGTTTGTCTTGCAGTGCTCCGCTTCGTGTGGAGGTGGTTTTCGGACACGGACAGTAAACTGCACAAGGCCTGTCAAGGGGAGCTGTGTTCTTTCTAAAAAGCCGAACGCCAGAGGACTGTGCGCTTTGAGGACTTGTCCCACCAAAAAGAAGGTACTCTTGCCCCCCCAGAGACCCAAGTGGGGGAAGCCCCCCGACAAAAACGCCCCCGACAAACACGCCCCCAACAAGAAGGTGCCAAGGGCTGGGCTGAACCACTCCGGCTCGAAGGATGAAGCAAAACTCAACCGAATGTCCTCCACCGTCACCACCACCAGCACTCAGCAGCCGGGTAACACTACTGTACAGCCAGATAGCAGAACAGACACCAACAAAGGGCTAAGCCACCAGCCCACTGACCGTGACGAAAGGCAGAAGAGTGACAGATCCTCGTCGGACAAGGATTTCAACTCGATCGCCTTCCACCATGTCACAGTCCAAGACAACAATTCCACTGGTGGGTGGAGGGCTCCTGAGCCAGTGAGCATTGAGCCCACTGCAATAGAAAGTGAGGGTATGACAGGTCAGCCCATTGAAGTCACCGCACAATGGGACGGTGGACAGTTCCTGGTTACAGAGGTCGGAGTGACAGACAATGGTCGGGACTACGGTATTGAAGAACCCAGCACAAAGCCCGGCGACTCAGAGAATCCAACGGTGACTGAGAAGCCAACTCTCGCGAGCACGGTGACTCCCGGCAGCCTGACGTTAGACATTAGTGATCCTTCGCCGGGGGACATCCAGAGAAAGCCGGGGATTTCCGGAGCAAAGACAGACCCGAAGGTTAAACCAGTTCCCGTACGTCTCCGAGAGAAACTTCAAGATTTGCTGAACCCGGCCCGCTTCACCAACAACACCGGGGACACAAATTCCTCTTCCGGGGCCAAATCGCCAAACACCGCGAGCGTCACGCCTTTGCCAGGGATCGCACTTCCCGATCTGCTCGAGACTAACTCTCTCTCCTCCTCCGAATCTCAGCCGACTGGGGGAATACCGAACAAGGCCAGGGTGACTGATCCCTTCAATCTTACAGCGGATTACAATGGCTTTGAGACCGAAGGGAATGAAGACGGAGTCTTTTGGAAAGTGGGAAACTGGAGTGAGGTGAGTCCCTGGAATAAGCTTGGCCACACACTGAGACCTTCTGACATATAGGGATGTCATTCATATCAACAACACCACTAAATTACACTTGTAGAGTGCATTTCACGTCAGGAGGACGTGCCAAGGAGCTGGATGGTCATGGATCTGGCCGTGTGCGGGGTGAGGGGCAGGGAGGGTAGGGGTAGGAAGTGACCAAAGTAAACACTTTCAGTTACAAAGTGTCCAGCGAAACATAAGACAGTGCTACCATGTTCTATCTCAATCCACAGCCAAACATTGCTGTCATTGCTGAAGTTTTGATGGTTCAATACTGGGCAAGATTTGTGGCGTTTTATAATGCCTTCCTCATGTTCCTTAGAGTACTGTGCCCAACCCCTCCCCCCCTTCCCCTGGCTCATGACAGGTTGACCCTTGGGAGGCAATTTTCAATGGGTGACCCTCAACCTTATCTCTCACGTAAGCAAAATTCATCTCCACACTTTTATCACCTCCAGCCAGGCACTTGCTTGCTGTCCTCCACAGGTTCCTAAGCTGGCCTTACTTTACCTGCTCCCTTCCTATCCTCCAGAGGATCCATTTTGAAGATAAGGCCCTGGATCTTAAAATCCTCCATGACCTTGCCTCCTCTCCCACCCAGCCGTTCCTTCACTCTGGCCTTCAGACCTCCCAACACTCCACTGTGCCGTTGGTAAGAGATTTCAGACACTTTGTCCTAACCTCTGGAACCCTTGCAAAGTCTTGTCACCTTGTCCCCCCCCTCCCTTTATTCTTTCAAAATCTGTTTAAAGAATCAGCCTTTGATCACCTCCTGCCCCATCTCCCTCCTAGCTCAGGTCCCATTCTGTCTTTGAGATATTCTCCCATTGTCAAAGGCTCTGTATAAGCATATTGTTGTTGTTAATGGGTAAAGAGAGAATACTCCCCTGGGTTTAGGTCAGGTATGACTCTGGGTGCTGTACCTTTCACCGACCTCTCTCTCTCTTCTGTCCAGTGTTCCACCACATGTGGAGTAGGTGCTGTTTGGCGTCATATCGAGTGCAGCGCGGAGGGAGACTCGGGATGTGAGAAGATCAGGAAGCCCGACCCTGCTCGCAGGTGTTTTGTTCGCCCATGTGCAACCTGGAAAATAGGCAACTGGACCAAGGTGAGGAGCACTAGGAGCACCATGAGACATGTCAATGGGGCAAGTTATTGGGGTAGGTTAACGGGTCAGGTCAATGAGATAGGTTAAAAAGGTAGGTCAATGGGGCACGTCTCAGCACCTTGAGACATCCTCCTGTTGTGAAAGGCTCTATAAAAATGTAATTTGTTGTTGTTGTCAATGGGGCCGATCAATGGGACAGGTCAATGTTAGCAGGTCCACCACACTGAGATGCTACCCCGTGTGAAAGGCACTATATAAATGTAATATGGTACTTTTCCAATAACGCTACAGGATCCTTTAACATCCACCTAAACAAGCTGCCGGAAGCTCAGTTTAACATCTTGTCCGAAGGACGGGAGCATCTTCAATGCAGCAGTCTCCCAGCACCACACTAGAGTGTCAGCTGAGACTACATGAGTTATCAGTAGGGCAGAACAGTGGGTCAAGTCAATGAGGCAGGACAAGGGCTCTAGAACTATGAGATTTCAGTCTATAATCGCATGTGAATATGGAGATCATGTGGGTGGAGACTGGAGAGGAATTGAAACCAATTACAGTAACCATTCACCTGCAAAAGGCAGTCATCACCCTTTACAAATATGCGAAGTGCTTTGAGAAGTCAGGAATGTAATCGCTCGCTGTATCCGCTGAATCCAAGTGGAAGTAAAATATCGTTATCAGAGCCAAATGACAATGCGACGAACCATGTAACAAGATGAAGTTAGGCCAGCAGTAGATAAGGCAGTTTCCAGGGAGCTAAGTACTGAAATCTGAAACATGGTAATTGAGCCATAATGTTGTATCGGATGTGCTAGTGGCTAAAAGCATTAGAATGTAATGGGCAGCATGAGACATTAATTGCTTCAATGTGATCCGGCAATGGGGCTGAATTCGATTTGCTTTTGACAGCATTCTTTTTACTGTGTCTCGAGATGTTGGGTGACACTTGCAGGGCAAAGCATTTATGCAGAGCGTTGACCTACTCCAAACATTTATTCTGCATCAGCTTATCGGTCAGTGGCTTTTTCTTCTCTGAGTCAGAAGATCGCCGGTTCCAGCCTCACTTTGGGACTTTGAACCCATGTAGTCTGGGCTGAGATTTCAGTGCAGAACTGGGAGAGCGCTGGATTGATGATGATGCAGTCCTTGGGTTAAACCAAGATGCTGACATCCTGCTTAAACCTCGCCCCTCCCTTGTTTTCTTCAAGGCCCGTCGAAAGAACTTCCTTTTCGTCCGTGCCCTCAGTCATCTTCCCTCCTCCACGCCCCTTGCCCTCACCCCCTCTTTGCTCCCAACCCACAGAGTAGGAGCAAACCTATCATGGTCATGCACCTTAAATTGTTGTCCTGACGTGAAAGGCGCTATACAAATGTCATTTGTTGTTGTTGGATGTTAAAAGATCATGTAGCGCTACTGGAAAAGAGAAGGGAGTTCCAACCAGTGTCCTGGCCAACAATCACCCAGATAAAATCGGTCATTCATCACATGGCTGTTTGTGGGACGTTGTGTGCAAATTGACTGCTCCATTCGTTTACAAACTGTACAGTCAGTACCCTTTACAGTATGCAGTGAGGCACTTTGAGGTATCCTCTTGAATGTGAAAGGTGCAATATCAGAAGCAAGGATTGATTATAAATCCAAGTGAAATTTCGGGCCTCAGAAGTGAACTGGCTTGAAGCCACTTTCGTCCAAACAACTCAACAACACCAACAACAACTTTTACTTATAAACCGCTTTGCATCTAGAACCAGCATCTCAATGCACTTCTCAGAGACAATGAGCAGGAGGAGGAGGGAGAGGAGGGCAGCCTGAGGCTGCTGTCCATAAAATGGACATGTGCTTGTGTCAATGACAACAACAATTTACATTTGTATCGCGCATTTCTCGTCGGGAGGATGTCCCAAGGCACTGGACTGTCAGAGATTTGGACCCAAGCAGGGAGTTTGGGATCAGGAGGGGTGGAGGCAGGGAGGATAGGGGTTGGAAGATGACCGAAGGGGCAGTCGAAGAGGAGGGTCTTGAGAATTGACTTGAAGTAGGCAAAGGAGGGGGCAAGGCAAAGGAACTCTGGGATGGAATACCAGAGGGTGGGGGCAGAGAGGCTGAAAGCCCAACTGCTGATGGTGGGTGGGCTGGGCAGAGAACGTGGAGCAGACCAGAGCCTGCTGATGGGAGGGAACGGACAGGTCGATATGGATATCAAGAAGTGAGAGGTAAATCTGTTTTTTTTCCCTGGTGTGTTAACAGTGCTCGGAGAGTTGTGGAACTGGTTCCAGGATCCGCAGTGTGCAATGTAACGACTCCCACAAGAATAGACCGCTGCGACCTTTTCACTGCCAGCTGCTGGGAAGAAAGCCCGACACCAGCCTGGACTGCAACCTGGGGGCTTGTGTGGAATGGAGGGTCTCTGCGTGGAGTGAGGTATTTAAACCAAGGCTTCCGACACAAACATTACCAGTGCAAAACAAATGTTAGCACGCTCACTTCGCAAGAGAGCGGGTTCGATTCCCGGCTAGGGCGAAACCTTAGGCTAGTTTCCTTACTCCATATCCCTCTGTTTACCTAGCAGTGAGTAGTCAGTCGATTGTCAGATTGTATTCCTGGGGTAATAATCTCTTCAAAATAAATAATAAGTGGGTCACTCAATCCATGACAGTTTGTGGGACAATATTGTGCTCAAGTTGCCTGCAGCCTTTGGCCACAAATACACATATGCTCTGGGATGCTACCCTACGTGAGAGCCGCTATATAAATAAGTTGTATGTTCTTATATGCTCGACTTCACAGTAAATCCTGTGATGCACTTTGGGATTCCTCCTGCTGTGCTGGCTGACCATTCCCCAGATAAAATTGGTCATTCACTTCACAGCTGTGTGTGGTTCTTTGCTATATGCACATGCTGCTACTTTCAGCGACATAATACAAAGTCACTGCGCTTCACAGTACAGGGAATAGGGTCTACCAGTGGTATAGGATTATAATCAGAGTCACACTTGCAAAGAAGCCCCTTAACAGACTCTGGCCTGCTCCATGTCCCCACCATCGTCGGTCGATCTTTCGGCCTCTCAAACCCCACCCTTTGGAACTCCATCCCACAGTACCTTCGCCTCACCCCATCCCGTGCCTCATTCAATGTTCATCTCAAGATCCTCCTCTTTGACCATGTCTTAGGTCACCCTTCTACCCAGCCTTTCCTGCCTTCCCCACCACTGCTGATCCCAATCCCCAGCTCAGGTGCAAATTCTTGACTGTCCAACAATTTGGGAGTTTCTTTACTCCACACACCTCTGTTTACCTCGCAGTAAATAGGAACCCAGTTGCTAGTCAATTGGCAGATCACTTTCCTGCGGGAAATAATCCCTTAAAAAAAAATAATAATAATTTGGTCACTCAATCCACGACTGTTTGTGGGAGACTGCTACGTGCATTAGGCTGCCGTGTTTCGCTCACAAAATACAGTGAGCTTTATACTTTACAGTATATTCCGTGAAGTGCTTTGAGATGTCTCAAAGATGTGATAAGGTGCATTTTGCATCAAATGCAAGGATTATGATTTGTGACATCCTCCCAACATGAAAGGTGCTTTGTAATTTGTTGTTGTTGTTAGAATGGAGCACAGTGTTGCTGTGAGTCAGTGATAAGTCGCTTGTTTAACACTATGTGAACGTGTTTTTTTTGCAGTGTTCAAAGACCTGTGGGAGCGGGATTCAGGAGCGTCTGATCTACTGCCCGGAAAATGCCCTCTGCAGTCTGAAGGAGAAGCCTCCTCTTGCTATGCCTTGCTCTGCTCAGCCGTGCACTGAATGGTTGTCTGGTTCCTGGGGACAGGTAAGGGAATCGCACCCAACCTTTCACACCTGAATCTCTGTTGAACGAAACACTTTCTGCACAAAACATTGTAATCACATCCACACTGCAAAGAATCGCTTTAGAATGGGGCCGCACTGTGTTGCTGTGATTCTGTAAAAAGCCATTTGCTGGATACTGAAGTGGGTCCACAGGACTCCGGGGCACTGCTGAAGACAGCACAGCCAGCCTGGCTCATCAGTAGGACTTGGATGAGCAGATCAGTCACTGGGGGAAGGGAATTCTCCCACTCAGCTCATTAGAGCGATGTGCTTAATGACTGATTTTACCTGGGAGATTGTTGCCCATTAGGGCTTTGGCTCTGGAATGGAATACACACTCTTCCCGGATGGATGCACTCTGTATTAGGCGCGGGTTGGCAAGAGTATTAGGCGCGGGTTGGCAAGAGCCTGGGATTGGACACCCCCAGAGTCTGCGTTTGGATTCCAGGCTTCACTTGTTTCCACTCCAGTTCCTTTGTCAATATTCTTATGGTCTCTTCCTCAACACTTGTGATAGAGCATTACGCTTTCTAACACCTCTGTGTGAACCATCTCTCTCTAACGCCCTCTGTAACTCTCGCCATCCAGTGCTCAGTGTCCTGTGGGGGAGGTTTACAGCACCGGCTGGTGAAGTGTGTGAGCATGGGGTCAAATCGGACAGAGCACGAACACAGTCAGTGCCAACACCTGCCACCTCCAGGTCTCATTCAGAAGTGCAACGCTCACACGTGCGTGAGCAATAAAGGTAAGGAGCGGGTTTCAATCCACAGTTAAGATATGGTCACAAAGCTCTGCTATTTTCTCCTTGTTAATAAAACTGGTGCAACTTTCAGTGCAACAGCAACAGTGACAATTAATAATAACACTTACAATACTAACTATACTTGAATTTGATATAGTGCTTTTCACGTCGGGAAGACGTCTCAAAGAGCTTCTCAGGATTTTTACTGTAAAGTGGAGTGACAGTTTTTTGCAGGTGAATGTGGCAGGCAATTTGTACAAAATAGCAAAGGGTGTGTGTAGAATGTCTGAGGCTTTGTGGCTGTAAGGGAAGTTTCCACTCAGGAGGTTCTGGGTTCAATCCCCATGGCAGGATAGTCTAGGCTGACGTTACAGTGTAGTGCTGGGGTGAGCCCAGCTTTATCAGTGGTGTTGTCCTTTGAATGAGATGATAAACCGAGGTCTTGCCTGCCTGTTCAGGTGGACATTAAAAGATCCGTAGCTCTATTTGGAAAAGAGAAGAAAATTTCTTCCCTGTATCCTGGCCAGCAATACCCCAGGTAAAATTGGTCATTAAGCACATGGCTGTTTTGAGGAGTTGCTGTGGGCAAAATTGGCTGCCGTATTCACCTACAAATATACAGTCACTTCACTTTACAGTGAATCCTGTGAAGTGCTTTGAGACGTCTTCCTGAAGTGAAAGGTGCTATATCATATGCAAGGATTATTATTGTTGTTAATAATAATAATAAGTTGGCAGCACTTTCAGGTAATCACTGCTAAATGCTATGCACTTCAATTTGCCTCTCAAAGCGTTGGGATCTGAAGACACTTTGTTCATCAGTGTGTAGCAGCTAATTAGATCAATGTTTTCTATATCTTTGCTTTAAACACAAATGAGGCTCAATAAGCACATCATGTGTCTTAACATGAAAGTCACGGTTGATATCTGACGCTTCCTTTCACACTGTTATTTAAACTCCCCCCAATTAAAGCATAACCTTTAATCTTATTAATTGTGCCTCTGCATTATCCTTTTGCTTCAATTGAGATCATCTCATGCTGCCTGATGTTCACTTCTCCGTTTCACAGCAGAGCTGGGAAAGAGTTTCAAATCTCAAATTGTCTGAAGAGATCAATATATACTCAGAGATTTCAGACCTCAAGGGCCTAAGATTTTTCTCGAAGAATGTTATGTGCAGAAATTTAGCAAGCGTTTTCAATCCAGTTTTTTGTTGATCAGTCAAGTGTCTGATAGATGTGGAAACCCATCACCATACTTAATAGTATCCAAACCAAACTGAGCATTCCATGCATCCCACCTATGGATTGAAAGCCCAGAGATAGATTGTTCGAATGGTATGCACACTCTCTCTGGAGGGACGCAGCCTGCTTACCCAATTCCAAAAAGCCAAGGCTTGGGGACTTCAGAGTATGCGTTGGAATACTGCTGAAGTCTAACCAGCTAAAACCGCATAGCACTGATAGCACTGTCTGGAAAGCTTTCCTGCTGCGTATCCAGCTCGGACCATCCTAACCTTTAGGGCTTTAGCTTGTAGGGTTAACAGGAGTTGAGAACTACACAGAATGATACAACTCAGAAACGTTCAGCACAACGCTCCCATGCTGGCAGTTAATACTCTACTCAAGTCCACCCATCCAGTGGAGTCCTGTAGCTCAGTGATTAGAGCACTCGCCTCACAAGCGAGAGACCTGGGTTTGATTCCCGGCAGGGTGAAATCTTGGGCAAGTTTCCTTACGCCACACGCCTGATAATAATCCCTCAAGAAAAAAAAACAATAATAAATTGGTCGCTTCAATTCACAACTGTTTGTGGGACACTGCTGTGCGTAATTGGCTGCCGTGTTTTGCCCATAAATATACAGGCAATTCACTTTACCGTATATTCTGATGCTTTGAAACATCTAGAAGAAAAGCGCTATATCAAATGCAAGGATTATTATTTTTATTATATTACTTATTCCCTTCTTATTCACATATGCTGAACTGAATTAAGGTTGAATTTAACACTGCTTTCTAAAATGCACACACAATGTTGAATCTTTGTGCTTGATAAAATACTACAGTAATAGCAATCCCTGCACTTGACAATGCTCCTCATCATGTCATCAAAATGTCTCAAAGTGCTTCACAGGGATTTTATTGTGAAGTGTACTGATTGTGCAATTGTAGGTGAAGGTGATGGTATTTCGCTTCAGAAAGCTCGACCCCATTTTCCTCTTATGACTGTTCATTTTCGGGCAAAACATGAAGAGTAGTGTCCAACAAACAGTCATGGATTGTATTTTGTTGGAGGGATTATTACATATCAAATGCAAGGATTAATAATATTAATTATAACGCTTTCAACCCCATTTTAAATTTGATATACCACTACTTAGTCCCATTCAATGTGACCAATACATCTGAGCATGTGGATTCCTGAAGCTCAGTGGTTAGAGCACGTGTCTCGCAAGCGAGTGGACCTGGGGGTCATTCCCAGCAGGGTGAAATGTTGGACAAGTTTCCTTAACTCCACAAGCCTCTGTTTACCTAGGAGTAAGTAGGAACCCAGGTGTTAGTTGATTGGCGGATCGCTTTTCCAGGGGTAATAATTCCTTACAAAAAAATAAATAATTTGGTCACTTAATCCATGACTGTTTGTGGGACACAGCTGCGTTTCGCCTACAAAACATTTAATTAGCTTTACAATATATTCTGTGAAGCATTTTGAGACATCCAGAAAATGTGATAAGGTGCTATATCAAATGCAAGAATTATTATTATTAACTAGACCCCAGCCAGAGAGTGAAATAAAAAGTATTTTTTATCCAGGCTACAAGTGTGCAAACCACAAGATTCTCTAACTCCGACCTTCATCTGCAAAAAGACAATGAATAATAGAAGTGTTTTTCTTTCTCTTTGCTTGACTTGACATTTATCTATGTGAACCAAAAAAAACTTTGCTGTCATTCAAAGATTTCTTTAAAGATAAGGTGACCTTCTGAAGGCTATTGTAACACTAAACGCTATCTGTTTATGGGAGCTGACATTGCATTAAGCAAATTGTGTTTTTTCCTCAGTACATTTGCCATTGAAAGAAACAGCCCCGAAGCAACTGATCGATTTTATTTGGTATATGTGAGCTCCACTGACATCTCAAAGACGTGATAAGGCACTATATCAAATGCAAGGATTATTATTAATAAATGGGTTGATAGACTAAAAATCCGTGAGTGGAAATAACTTTGATCATGCGATGTGCTTGGTAATTATCCTGTAATTATCTCTACACTTTCCACTGGAGTGACTCTGATAGAGCAGTGGATCAATATCACAATTAACTTCTCTTCTCTCCCTGCAATTTATTGGCATCAATCAGTAATCTCTCTGTCTGAAACCACCTTTTGTAGTGATATTTCTCTGAAGACAAAAATGTAATAAAGTGTGTGTGGGTCAGGGGAGGGGGTTCAGTAAGCTTTGTGACTGACAAGTGGACACCCATCACCGTGCTCACCAGGTGAATAACACTACTAAGTGGTGTACTGTCAGAGCACAGAATAATTTTCAAGAGCAACAAAGATCAAAGTAAGTTATTTTATTCTTACTGACTCTGTGCCTTGGATGTATACATCATACATTGCGCTGCTGAAATCTCATTAGCTCAGAGCTGCTCGCACACAGACATCAACGGGCGACACTTCGCAGATGTTTGCGGAGAGATCTGGTGTCAGCCCGGCTCAGTCGCTAGCAGTTTCTCCTTTGAGTCAGAAAGTGATGGGTTCAAAACCGCGTTGGGACAGTAAAGTGAGATTTCATCCTTCTAAAATTCACCTTCCCTCCCAGCATTTTCCCATCACACCATGATTCTGTATTTTAAATGAGTCACAGTGTCCTCCTCGCCTCAACCATCCTTCCTGATAACCTGTTCCAATCTGTTAATTATCCTTTGGGTAAAGAAAAGCTTCCTGGTTTCTGTCCATCTTGAAATGGCCCTTTACAAACCTAAATCTGTGTCTGCTTGTTCTCCTGTCTCGGAGCATCCTAAAGTATTGTTCTGGGTCCACTTTATCAATCCCATTTAAAATTTTACTGACTTCTATATGGTTCCCACTGAAACACCTCATTTCACGAATGAAGAGCCCTAGCTTGTTTAATTGTCGTCTTCCGGCTCCCACAAACCTTGCTGCAAATTGATCAGAAGTGATAAACTGGCTAACTCTCTACGCCTCCATAACCCAAGGCAATATGGCCCATCGTGGAGTCCTTTATCATATTGGTTAGATCACACACTTCACAAGCCAGAGGACCCAGATTCGATTCCAACATGCCATACTCCACATGCCTCTGTTTATATAGCAATATGTAGGAACCTAGTTGTTAGTCGACTGGCGGATCACTTTCTGGGGGTAATAAATCCTTCAAATAAAAATCCTGTAATAATAATAATTTGGCCACTTAATCCATGACAGTTTGTGGGACACTGCTGTGTGCAATTGCCTGACGCATTACACACACAAATTCACTTTACAGTATATTCAATTCACTTTACAGTATATTCTGCAAAGCGCTTTGAGATGTCTCAGTGATGTGATAAGGTGCTATATCAAATTCAAGAAATATTATTGTTAATTTTTACAGCGCATGTACTGCCATTCTTGCTCAGGTCAACTAACTTGGGGAATTGAACCTGTCACCTTCCTGCTCTTGTAGACCAAGGCCCTCCTAATTGGCTCACGTCAGCACTTCTGCACTGTCAGCATCAGCATCCCAAGATGAATGCTCCACCTCACCAAGCCAGTCAGGAACCTAGGCATTCTGTTCGACCCTCAACTGTCCTTTCTCCCCCATATCCGTGCCAGGACCTGGTCTGCCTTCCCCCGCCTCCGCAACATTGCCCAACTCCGCCACTGCCGCAGGCCGCCAAAACTCTCATACATGTCTTCATTGCAACTTGTCTCAACTATGCCACTGCTTGTTAGCCTTCCCAACTCTTCCTTCCACAAGATGCAGATCATCCAGAAC